TCCAGTGTCACTTTACCAGCCTTCCTATCTTCTGTCCATAGTTCAGCAAATCTCATAAGTAAGATTTTAAGGGCATCCCATTCAAACTTTCAGATTGTTGGCTTGGAAGAAGCTAGAAACGCATTCTTATTTGCATGCCCAGGTCAAAATTTTCCAGTAACTCCAAATTCACAGAGGAGCTGGGACGACATATACTGTAAATTAACTTATGACAGTCTTTTAAGCTGTAGTACAGGTTCGGCGCGTGCTAGGCTTTTGGCCGTGGGTACGCATGAGGCCAGCTACTGGCTTCACGCGTACCCTTCGTCAAATACAGGATAATTTCTTAAGCCTGACACGCTCCGGATCGCAACCTGTCTACGGCTTGGGGTTGCGGTCTGCGCTACTCATAACTGTCCCTGTGGCAGTGATGTCGACAAGCTAGGACATCACGGACTGTCATGCCAAGAATGTGCAGGCCGCTTCTCGAGACATACCGCACTTAACGATATCATACGCCGGTCCCTTGCCGCCGTCAACGTGCCAAGCCTATTTGAGCCTTCTGGTATTGCAGGAGACAATGGCAAGAGACCAGACGGTATGAGTTTGATTCCATGGAAGATGGGCCGGGTGCTGGTATGGGATGCAACCTGTTCAGACACGCTGGCCCCTTCCCATCTACATGGAACCAACAACAGAGCTGGTGCGGCTTGTGAAGCGGCTGAAAAAGCTAAAGCATTTAAATATAGGGGTCTAGGCTCCGAATATGATTTTGTCACATTTGGTGTCGAGAGCTTTGGTCCGTAGGGTCCTAGCGCTATAAGACTTTTTGAGGAAATAGCAAAAAGGTTGGTCGACATCACAGGAGACCGAAGAGCTGGCAGCTACCTCGGACAAAGAATTAGTCTAGCTATTCAAAGGCGGAACGCTGCCAGCATCTTCGGAACCTTGCCTAAAGGGACTTCTTTTTAATAAAACATTTTAGTTATTATATTATATTTTTAAGGTTTTTAGTTTTAGGTTCATTGTTCTAGTATATATTTTATTTTATAAATTGTATAATTAACGGCAACGGCAGGACTGCATAAATTACCGCGGTATAAGCCTTCTCAGCGTCGTCGGTAAATTGTATGCGAAAGTGTTGATTGAAAGGATTGTGAATGAAACAGACAAGAAAGTATGGGATGCACAAGCGGGATTTAGAAAGGGAATGGGATGTACGGATCAGGTCTTTTCTTTGCGGTGCATAGCCGAAAAGTATTTGGCTAAAAACAAGAAAGTCTACTGCGCGTTCGTAGATCTAGAAAAGGCCTATGATAGAGTGGTGAGGAATGAATTGTGGTCAGCACTGTCCGTGAACGGTGTGAGCAGTATCCTCATATGAGCAATGCAATCTCTTTATCGGGATTCTAGTGCTTGTGTAAGGATAAACGGGGCATACACGGAATGGTTTAATATCGAAAAAGGTGTTAGACAGGGATGTGTAGCGTCACCGTGGCTGTTTAATCTGTTCATGGACAATTGTTTGACAGATTTAAAAGAGAATGAAAGTGGGTTGAGAATGAATGAGTTACTCGTCAAATGTTTTCTCTATGCTGATGACCAAGTATTACTTGCGTCTTCGGCCGAGGAGTTGCAGGAGATGGTAACTGCTATGAGTGGAGCTTTTGTTAGAAAGGGAATGAAGATGAATGTAAGGAAGACGAAAGTGATGGTGTTTGAAAAAGATGAGGCAGTGACAGACTGCAACATTGTGATTGAAGATGAACAAATTGAACAGGAGTTTGTGTATCTGGGTTCAAAGTTTACAAGAGATGGAAAGTGTGAGAGTGATATCGAAAGAAGAGTGAATGCAGGAAACATGGTGAATGGAGCTTTGCACTCCTTTATGAGCAGTCGGAAGGTGTCTAACAAGGCTCGTTTGGCTGTGCATGAGGGGGTGTTGGTTCCGACACTCATGTACGGAAGTGAAACTTGGGTATGGCAGAAGAAACATGAAAGCAGAATAAATGCAGTTGAGATGAGAGCATTAAGAAATATGATAAGAGTTAAACTGAGTGACAGGATAAGAAATAGTGAGATAAGGAAACGTTGTGGTCTGAAAGAAGATGTAGTGACAAAAATTGAGAAAGGTATGCTGAGATGGTTTGGCCATGTCGAGAGAATGAATGAAGAACGATTGACGAAAAAAGTGTATAAGGCGAGTGTGAATGAAAGTGTTGGAAGGGGTAGACCTAGGCGGACATTTCTAAACCAAATCAGGGACGTCTTGAAAAAAGGCCAGGTCAAGAGTACCCTAAACCGTAGAGCATGTATGAAGGGAATAATGAAAGTGGACGAAGCAAAACAAGTATGTAAGGATCGTAGCAAGTGGAAAGAACTGGTCTCTGCCTACCCCTACGGGAAAGAGGCGTGATTATATGTATGTATTTATTTATTTATTTATTTATTTAAGCCTTTATTTCCCAAAAAAAGAAATACATAAAATTAAATATTTAACAAAATTTCATTTACATTTACAAAACCAATCATGCTTCAAAGAAAACTTCAACAAACATTTAGATATAAAATTTGCCAGAATTTAGAATAAATTTTGTAAATTATGCTCAATAAATCGTTATATAATATCCTTAAAATCAAATATCAATTAACTACAGTTTATAATTATCAAATATAAAATAATGAAATGTGATTACATTATTAAACAATTTAAATTCATTAATAATAGTAACATTAATAAAATATGTAATAATAACAATAATAAAATATGTAATGATTAATTATAACATGTTATGAAAATCAATTTACAGCAGATTACTTATGATTACATAATATTTAAATTATTACTTTTTTTTTTTTACTAATTATTGATATATTTTTTTCTTATTTATTTGGGTACCCATTTGCGGGTGAAGGCCTCCTCCATCTATGTATGTATGTATGTATAATTAAATTTTGTATATAAATTTTATAATTTTTTCTAAGTTTGTAAATGAAGTAAGGTACGTTGGGGTAATACCGGACGGATTTTCGAATAGTTGGAAGAGTCTGCCAAAAACTTTAATTTCTCGACATTCGTATACGTCAGATTTATGGACCATGGAGCAAACCGTTAATCGTTAAACGTAGTTTAGCTCTGAGAATCTTTTGCTTGTGTAAACTCAACGGTTTCTGCTTTAAAGGTGTGCGAAAACTAGACATACTTTTTTATATGCATAATGAAAAATTGACCATTAAGGGATAAGACCGGACTTAAATTTAAAACCACTTCTACTGCTTAGAGAAAAAAGTTTATAAAAGAGATTTGTCCTATCTTTAACGCTCAAAAACATATTTCAATATGATCTATAAATTACTAGAAACATAAATGTTCCAAACGATTTTCTCTTTTTTTATTTCTTGCCATCCGATCTTATCCCTGATATAAAGAAATTGTAATTTTATGTTTCTCAAACTTTGTTATGACATAAGATGGAATTACTCAATATAAGAGAAAGATCGGATGTATTTGATTTTATATGGGAAAAAAAAATAACAGTAAGGACTGGCGAAATGCCCTAGGATAATATAGGAGTTAAGGAAGATATAAATATTTTAACAAAGCGGCATTTATTATTATAATTTTTTTTTTAATAATTATTATAAATTACATTTTGATTTGTAATAGAGGATAGATATAGATATCTATGGGCCGCAGCAATCACTTAACATCAGGTGGACTGTGTGCTCCTTTGTCACCCTTATCCTATAAAAAAAATGTATTTTAATGTGTACTTAAAAGTAATAAAACCATCGTATTATTTTATTACTTTTAAATATACAGACTTGCTAACGAGACTGAGTCCCATAGTCACTTGAGTAATCAACGAAAAAATATACACGACCAATGAAAGTTTAACAACCACTGCCATATTTGTAACAGGCAAAGATCGGATAATATTTATCCGATCTTCACTCACGAGGGGAAACATCGGATCTCGGCCTACAGCGATCTTAGCCCTGCATGGACCAGCTTTATTTAGCTATAACTTCATAAAAATTAGTATCCACACAAAATAATAACAAAAGAAGCCATATTCTCGCTAAAAATCGTAAATAAAAGTGATAGGGAAAGATCGGATGGACAAAAATAATACAAAAATGACATTGTTTTATAAAATACCACGCAGCACAGGTCCCACTTGCCGGAGTGACTGGCGCGAACTGAGGGTCGGGGCAGGATGAAATGGCGTCATGTAGCATATTGTTAGCTTTTCAAAATATAGCATAATTCGCCGGGAATTTGAATCCTACGGTCTTGCCCCATCACCGATCTTACCCCAACGTACCTTATCTACTTGGTGGTCGATATTTACTTTCATGAGATCGTTAAACCTGTTATGATGACGTCATTACGAGAGTGCGGACAGTGATTTAAATTCGCAGTATTTTCAAAGTCAATGAGTGCGACAGAGTCCAAAAGGATTGTTCTTTTAGGTTCTATACAAAATTGGACAGACTGCATAAACGATATTGTCAGCATGAAATATGGCGGCCATGAAGAAAATGTATCGTGTCTGGTATCACATGAAAGGTATTAATGAGTGCATGCCAATTAGATAAAATTTTATATGGCTTCGGACCCGTCTGCCAAGCATGACAACTATGAAAAGTATCCACCTATGAGGCAATCTATGGGGAAGCCCATGTTCAGGAGTGGACTTTTGATATGCATTAATGAAACAAATTTTGTGACAAAATAACTTTTGCCTTAATACTGATTTAAAAATGTTATAAGAACCTTAATCAAAAATTATTAACATTCACATATTTATTTACATAAAAAGTAATACGCATATAAAGGTTCTTTCATCTATTTTTTATTTCACAAATTCCCTAAATAAAATGTCACAAACATATCCCTACATTTAACATTTACAAACTTATAGAAAACATAAATTATAGCATTGATCCTGCTTACATTTTTATTTTATATAACTAAATACATTTAAAACTAAGTAGATAACTAATCACCAATCGCATTAATCTACATTAAGTACTCTAAAAGTGCCTGGCATACCGATATAGTTTTCATTAAATTTATCCAATTGTCTACATGCCTCGTCCGTTGTAGCTTTACTTATCTCCTCTAAGTAATCGAGATGCTCTTTAGAACTAAGAAGTTCAAGCCATGTCTCTGAAAAAACAAACACTTTATTTAGAAAAAAACTGAAACTAATAACTTAATTATCATATAGTCCTACTGGCAATGGATGAGTATGAACTTCGCACAGAAGTAGTATATGTGTCGCCACAAATAATTGTTTCAGGTTTGGAGAATTAACTTATACCTCATCTGTATTATGATTGGCTCGAATGGATCGGTTTTTCCAGAGTGAAAGTCCTCTAGCGCAGCGCTGTCTGTGGTTACGTGGCAACCGTCGTTGTTTGGAGGAGTTTTGAAATTAACATCATCGGAAAAGCGTACCATATATTTTAGACAAATTGCTAACAATCTGTTAATTATATTTTCTTGTACTTTATGTTGTTACGCACTCATATTTGTGTCATCCATCATGAGTGCATCTGGGTATGATCCTGTTTCGCCTAAATCAGAAGTAGGATAAATTTATCGTCCACATATTATATATATTGAATCTGGGTATGATCCTGTTTCGCCTAAATCAGAAGTAGGATAAATTTATCGTCCACATATCATATATATATATTGAAATAATGTAATGACGGCGTGGTGTCGTGCGGATCGCTTTTAAATGGAAGTATGCTGTCGGCGTGGGACGCTGCGGGCATATTATTTAACGCTGCTGCCGGATGACATTTGATGCATGAGGGAAATACATTTGTCTTAATGCCTTTGAAAAAATTATTTTGTAGTAACAAGTGGTTAACTTTTTAATTGGTTGAGAGGAAATTATTTGGGCGTTTAATTACCCTGTTAAATTGTAGAGTTGCTTACTTCATTCTATTCGTATTTTACGTGGTAGAGCCATGCTGCAGCTATATTATGGTTGTAGCACGAATGGGTCGGCTCGAACGGGGAAGGACCACGCTCTCACAGAAAACCAGCATAAAATAGCAGCTTAACGCTGCTGTGTTTCGTATGGTGAGTGTAGAGAACCGGAGACCCTTTTTACTGGCAAAGAGGCATTCCATCTTAGTCCTCACGGGTGACAACGCATGTGCATCTTGAGTCTTTATTGAGGATAGATGTAGATGTCTATGGGTCACAGTAACCACTTACCATCAGGTGGACTGTGTGCTCGTTTGTCACCCGATCCTATAAAAAAAAATTCTGTGTTGTGACTATGTCAACAGCCATACCGCAGCCGTAGCTCAAAGGGTGGGTGCGGTGCACGTGTGGTGGTAGATGTCTAGTTTAGTCGTTGTTGAGATGTAACGGGGATGACTGAATATAGAGATAGGTGCTCGTGAACATAAAATTAAGTGTAATATACATTTGGTGCATAACGAACGATTACAAAGGTTATGGCTCTTGGACATTTTATTTTGTGATGTGAAGTTTCCTTTCAATCGATCTAGTTGAAGTAGGTCTAAGTATTGAAGAAGTTTCAGGAGGTATTTTCAAGCGTTCATACTCTTATTCACCTGTTATTACTATTTGGTCGGATTGCACGAATTGTGCGTACTAATAACTACGATTTACTTGTAATACATTCAGGAGCGATGAAAATCTGATGGTGTGGTGGAAGGCCTTTTTCTCGTAGCGTCGTCAACTTGGAACGACCTGATAGTCGTTGTCTCTAAAGTTGATCGTATCGCAAGAAGTGATGAAGGTAGGGTAACAGTTTTTTGCTGGCCATTGCAACACTGTGATCACTATTTGTAATCAAATTATAACTTAAGTGATTTCTCTGTGTCTTGACACAGAGAAATCACTTAAGTTATAATCACACTACACTAATAATTTTTTCGTTAAAAGTTGGTGGGAAGAGTGACCAAAAGTGTTATTACTCCGTAATTATTATTATACAAAAGATGTTTTGTTAAGTACCCTTAATCGACGAGTATGTATGCGTAGGTACATATATGAACGTAAAGGAGGCGTTTCATCACGAGTATTAGCAATGCCGCATACCTCAATTGAGAGTTAAAATCCTACGCAACCTTCGCATTTTAATCCAGACAATCCAACCTCGGATATAGAGGAATGATGTAATGTAGTAAAAATAATTGCACAAAATAAACGCTTAGATAGATAATGAATTGATTTGTTAACGGCTATAACAATCGCTTTAAAAGATCACGCAGCTAATTTGCTTACCAAGCTTAAGCACTCCCCTTCTTGCCTCAGCCAGTATCGGTATCCTCGGAGTCGACATATCGAGTGACGTGCAGTTTCGTGGTCACTTGGAAGAGAAGGCCAAATTGGCCTCTAATAAACTTGGCGTGCTCAGCAAAGCGGGACAGTATTTCATGCCGGCACACCGCCTGCAACTTTACAAGGCGCAGGTTCAGCCTCACATGGAATACTGTTCCCATCTCTGGGCAGGGGCTCCCCAGTGCCAGCTCCTTCCACTTGACCGCATCCAGCGCAGAGCGGCTTGAATCGTCGACGACCGAGCCCTTTCCGATCGGCTCGATTCATTGGCACTGCGAAGAGATGTTGCATCCCTTTGCATTTTCTTTCGCATCTACCATGGGGTGTGCTCTGAGGAATTGTTCGGATTAATCCCAGCCGCCAAATTTCACGAACGCACATCGCGGCAGAACTCCCGATACCATCCACACCATCTGGATGATTGTCGGTCCACCACTGTGCGATTTAGAAGATGTTTTCTTCCTCGCGCGACTTCCTTGTGGAATCGATTACCATCAGCGATATTTCCGGACCGATACGACTTAGGGACCTTCAAGAAAAGAGCGTACTCCTTTTTAAAAGTCCGGCAACGCATCTGCAATTCCCTCCCTGGTGTTGCAGTTGTTCATGGGCGGCGGTAGTCAATTACCATCAGGTGAGAAGCATGCTCGTTTGCCCCCTCTCCTATAAATAAAAAAAAAAGTTTACTAAAATGGCATATGCTCTAGGGAAGAAACCCGAGATAAAAAAACAGCGTCTGAAACTGGTCTTCGCTTATGATCCCTCATGAAGTTAATTCCTAAAACAATCATGCCTGATGAAGTTATTAATGGATTAAAGTTATCTCAGTTTTATGTTCATGCGAAATATGATTTACATGGGTTGAATTTTAAAGTTCTAAACGTTTGGCGATGTACTGGGGAAATGTTTAACTTTAACATGCTATGAATTGAGAGAATGAGTGGCCTTTTTGTGTTCTAATGTGTTGATGAGTGTAGCAGTTTTGCTCTGAATATTGTGTGGTATGTATGGAACTAATAACCAAAGTTCATGTGCCCGTTTGTCACGTGTACTTGTATAAAAAACATTAATGGTTGCTTTTATAACATAAATATGTTGTGTATTTTAATAGTGTTTAACAACCACAGTTATTGCCATGCATAGGTATAAATGTTTCAATCATACCAAGTATTTTATTTATGCTTCTTTCTTCTCCTCCGTATTCAATTGGCAAAATTTCTTTAGGTGTTACGTCATAAAGTGATTCAACAGATTTATGTACAACAATTCGCTTGGAAAGTTTTTCACTGAGCACTTGTTTCAGTATAGAGACTAAAGCATCCACAAACTTAGAAGCCGTTAAAATATGAATACCTTTTAATCGCATTCCGTATCCTTCCTGTAAAAATATCATCATTAAAGTAGAATAGAACAGATTTTTATTTCATCATTATTACAGCCTAACAAAAATTCATTGCTGAACATCCTTCTTCAAGAAATGCCACAAAGTAATAAAGTATAAAAGCAATAAATAATGCGAAACATATATTTCTACTAAAATTCATATGAAATATATACTATGTTATAAAATAGAGATAAAGCTTTGGAAGCACTTTTTTCAGTAAATTATCTCTTTATAAATGTAAATGTACTATAAAAAAAAACAAGAATATTTGTGTGTAAGTATATATATAATTATTTAGATTCCTATATATATATTCTTTGTGGTGGCAACGTAAAAAACTAATTATCCTATTTCGTCCCTAGGTTGTCGCAAGAAGTGGGAAATGCAAAAAATTCTTAATATTTCCGATTGATGGAGCGATTCATAGCATGGTATAGGTTCTTCAAGACGACTATCGGCATGAACCACCATAAACAACTGCAGACATCAGGGGAATTGCAGGTGCGTTGCCGGTCTTTTGAAACAAGTAGGCTCTTTTATCGGAGGTTACTCAGTCGTATCGGTCAAAAAATCGTTGGTGGTAGTCGACTTCATAGGAAAGTTGCGCGAGGAAGAAAACTTCTGGTAAATAGCATGGTGGTGGACTGCTTATTATACCAATGGTATGGATGGTATCGCAAACTGGAAAGGCCTATGTCCAGAAATAGAGGTTTAAGGGCTGTTGAAAAATAAATATAAATATTCTAACACCTATTATTTTCAGCTTGTCTTAAAAGGCGACTAGCCGAAATTCCAGAAAATCCTTAAAGCTTCCGATAGATCAACGATCAAATGTCTCATTTACATTAGATATAAAATCAGGTGTGATTCGGCATCAGCGTCAAAGGTGATCTTTTAGTGTTGCTAGCGTTACATTCATGGCAAATCCCGGGAAAAAGAATAAAGGTATTTATGGGTTGTGTGCGGGCGGCATAAATAACCCACATTAGTAGCCTTAAATACAAAAGAACATTACTTAAAACCAGAACATCAGCAGCATTTTTCTGCTAACAGATTTATAAAAAAAAAAAACTACCATTGTCAACCTATGGCTAATACCGTGAATGTTTCAAAGAAAAACACGACCCCTAGAACCCTGCAATCCTTACTATTCCCGACTTAAAATATATTATTTAAACATTATCAACATACTTTATGTTATTAATCGTAAATATTACCATCTTTATACTATATATAGTAAAAGCTTATTAAGAGAGTACATCACTGAAACTTGTCCCGTGAGTCTCGTAAGAGACGGCTCATGAAAATGGCAAAAAGACCTGATGGTCTTTTTAGATGCCTTTATTTTGTAAAATTCAGATGAAATACTAAAGAAGCATCAAACTGTTCACATTGAAAGTTCGCTAGCTTGCGCATTACGGAAAATCTCCTTGCTATACGTCCTTATTCAGGAGAGACCTGAATGATCACTTACGTGGTGATGAGAAAGATATAGGTAGGAAAAAGTGGGAACATATTAACACAAACATTATCATACAGATACATGTCTACATAAAAAAAGAATGCCACAGATGCATTGTGACCCCTGTGTCACTCATTTATTAACTTCCGTAAGTCAATTAAGTGGTGTAAAAAAGACCGACTAGATGTGGGCTGCAGGCTAAAGTTAGGTCTACGTTTTATTGTTACTAATAACAATATTATAAAAAAAGTAAAAACGCATTTTACCATATATATAGCCAATGCTTGTCTAATTTCGATGGGATTTAATTTTGTTACGAAGTCCATTATATTTAAGCCTCTAAAGTCTGCAATTACCAAGAATCCATTCGGGTAATCGTGTAATTTTAAATAATCACCAGCCTGAAATACGTATATTATAAGAATAATTTATTGAACTATATATAAGTGTGTAAATATGAAAATTGAAAGACGCTCATTGATTCTTGTTTATTATTATTCTTATTATTGACATATTAATTGTTATAAATAAAAAAATATATATCACACTACTGTAAAAATATTTTTTTAAATTAAATATTATAGTACAATTTTTTAAATTCTAATACGTTAATTACTCTTTTACTCTAGCGATTAAAAGTGTAAACTTTGAATTAAACTAAAACATATGTATGTAATAATGTTATATATCCTTTAAATTTGTAATGTAATTTATACTTACAACAACTCCATATTTGTAATAATCAATAAATTGTGACGATTCGAAGGGATGATCGTTTATTTTAATCAGAAACACACGATAGTGGTCTGGCGTTAACTTTGGTAACATGACAGGTATCCTGAAATTTGTTGTAAAATTAAATATAATTAAACTATATAATTGTGACCGAGTGACCGTGTAGTGTTCGTGTAGGAATTTCCACTGCCACAAATTCTATGGTTATTGTAAGTGACAAAAGTGGAAACAAATTAAAACATGAACAGCAGCGTCTTTCTAATAAAAGTTACAAAATCAAAAACTGCGGATGCCTACCCTAACAAGTATGGCAACAATGGCAAGTATTCTCCATATGAAGTAATCTATGGCGTGGACTCTGATAGGCTCTTTTACACGTGGTAGAGCCACGCTGCAGCTATATTAGTAGTATAGTTGTAGCATGAATGGGTCGGCTCGACCGGGGAAGGACCACGCTCTCACAGAATATCAGCGTGAAATAGTAGCTTGACCCTGCTGTGTTTCGCATGGTGAGTGTAGAGAACCGGAGACCTTTTTTACTGGAAAAGAGGCATTCCATCTTAGTCCTCACGGGTGTCAACGAATCTGCATTTTGATTCGCAAACGAGGACAAATGTAGATGTCTATGGGCCACAGCAACCACTTACCATCAGGTGGACTGTGTGCTCGTTTGTCACCCTATCCTATAAAAAAAGGCTGTAATGACGATATTGATGAAACTATATTATAGGCTTTGTATGTGTATTATTTACTGCCATGTAATGACAGCGTAAGAGAATCTACTTTCACAAGCATTCATCCATATTATCTATTGAAATTTGGATATTGATTAATTTCAATAGCCTTCAGTCATCGCGCGAAATCATCCTTGGTACGAATTGTTGTTCTTTTGTAAGAATTTATGGTCTATCAAATCGGATGTAATAAATAATAAAGTTCTTGAATTGAATGAATTGCGTTAGTGCTTTAGGTCAGCTATATGTTCTTTCACGCGAGTTTCTATAGATTTTTTTTATGTCATATCTAAGAGAGACTACATTCACAATGAAGCTTATACACTTGTCCATCTTGTATGTTATAATTAGGGATACTACACTTGACGGATGGTAAAATTGACTAATTTTCTTCGACGGCTTGTAGTAGGTTTTAAAATTTCCCGTGGTACTGTGATGGATGACAGTGATATTCACGATTTGGATATCAACGGTGTGATTAATAGTGTTATCAGAATTTCGGATGACTAAAACACCTCGGAAAGCTAAAGAATTATTTGCCATTGCGAATTGTATTTTTAAGTTTATGGAGCTAAGGTGGTCTAAAAAATGAAGATACTTTATATGGTGGTAAAATTATGAAAGTATCGTCTACGTAACACTTTGAAAAGTAAAATTTTACATCTTTAATTAACATCCCAAAACGTCGGGAACGAAAAAATTTAAATTAAACGCAATAAAATCCGTAAAATTAATTCTCTTCATATGTCTCGTTACCACTGAGGACTAAAATGAAATGCCTACGACTTTTACCAAACTTGACTGACTTCAGGTTCCTACTAAAATTCCTTGACAGAAAAACCCATTAACTGATTATTGACCCGAACCGGCATTTTTCGGTATTCGGACTCGGTATCAAATGATCATCAGTCGCGCTTCTTACTACTGTACTGTAACGTACGTCTCAAAATGAACCAAAATTAAAACGATCATAATTTTTGTAAAAATGTAAAACTTCAAAAAAAAAGGTTACATATTGATAACATACGTAAGCGTGCTTTTTTCTTATTACAATTATATTCTCATGTCGATTTTTTTTTGTCTTATATCACACGGTAACGGTTAATTTGTATTTTTGAACAAATACAATTTACAGTTTTTATGAATCTTAAACCTTGAAACACACCTTAAACAACTAAACATTTTGATTTGGAATTTTGCCTTGTCGCTGGGGCTCTCCCAGCTGGTACAACAAGCGACTAGGGTACCTGATGTGGATGGGCACATAGTTAACTGCCTCGACCTTCTTCTGACGACCGATCCAGACAGGTAAGATGTTCAGGTTACCTCACCCTTGGGAACTTCTTACCACTGTCTGGTGAAATCTGTGTCGTTATATTCCCCACCTAACTACCTACGATTTCCAGGGAGTGCGACGAATGTGGCGATACAAGTCAGCAGATTGGGATGAGATGCGGCATTTCTTTGCATCTTATCCTTGGCGGCAGGTCTGCTTCTCCTCTGGAGACCCATCGAGCTGCGCGGATGCGATAACCAATGTGATACGTCAAGCGATGGAGTATTTCATCCCCTTTGCTGACGTGCCCATTGGTGGTTAAGCTCGCCCTTGGCTTAACGCCGAGTGCGCTCGTACTGAAAAGCAGAAGCATATGGCGTACTTATCCTGGGTCGATGCTCGAGACCGTAAAGCTCCGGATGTTAGCCTTAAAAAGAGAGCCTTTAACCAAGCTGTCAAGTCGTGCAAAAAGGCATTACGCCAAGCCAGTTTCGACCGCATTAAACGCATCGGCACAAAGCTCTCTGTCAAACCATCTGGCAGTAGAACTTTTTGGTCTCTCGTCAAAGCGGTAGAGACAAACTTCTGTCGGTCTACACTGCCTCCGCTGGTAAAACCAGATGGCTCACTGGCGCATGCGCCTAAGGAGAAAGCGGACTTATTTGCTTTCGTTTAATTCGCGTCTGGACAGTAGCAACAGCGTACCATCTCAATTACCTCACTGCGGTACCTCTATGTCTGAGGTCCGTATCATCAACAAGGAGGTTCTTAAAACCTTGCGAAGTCTAGACGTGAACAAACCTAGTGGACCTGATGGTATACCAGCTATAGTTCTAAAGGTCTGTGCACCTGAGTTGTCTCCTGTGTTGACACGCTTGCTCCGCCTCTCATTCAGGACTGGAATAGTGCATAAATCTTGGAAGCTGGCCAATGTCCAGCCTGTGCCTTAAAAAGGTAGCCGTACCAACCCTGCCAACTATCGGCCAATTTCAATTACCTCCATACTCTGCAAGATTATGGAGCGTATATTGAACGCCCACCTCATGGCATACCTAGAGCAAAATGATCTCCTCAGTGATCGCCAGTACGGGTTTCGCCGAAATCGATCAACTGGGGACCTTTAAGCGTATGCAATTCACATATGGGGCGAAGCCCTCGAGAACAGTAGTGAAGCACTTGCTGTTTCCCTCGATGTTTCGAAGGCTTTTGACAGGGTTGGGCACGCTAGTCTATTGGGCAAGCTTTCAGCGTACGGCTTATCCCCTGGCCTTATTGTCTGGGTGAAGGACTTTCTGAGTAAACTGTCTCACCGAGTCGTCGTTGATGGCTGCTCATCCAATACTGTGGCGACTAACGCCGGTGTTCCTCAGGGGTCCGTTCTCTCCGCAACTCTCTTCCTGCTGCATATAAATGATCTGCTCATTCCCGGTGTCTATGGGTATGCGGACGACAACACAGTTGTGGAGAGATAGCAACTAAGTGCCCGGGCCAGTCGGGATCAAATCCAGTGAGAAAGAGAGGACATGGTTGAGCGTGTGAGTCTCACACTACAGGCAGTCTTCGAATGGGGCGATGCCAATCTCGTGAGATTTAACGCCTCCAAAACACAAACGTGTCTTTATACCGCTAAATGGAGCCCGCCCACCTTGGCTCCTACTTTCCGGAATGTATCCTTGGAGTACACTGACCGCCTTCAGTTGTTGGGGATTGAATTTTCTCCGAACCTAAACTATGGGCGGTTCATTGAGTTCAGAGCCAAAGCAGCCGCAATTTTGGTCATGTAGAAGGAATGAACGAGGAAAGAGTGACAAAGTAAATTTATGTTGCAGAGTTGAACGGCAGGGTCGGGAAGGGACACCCTAGACGAAGGTTTATCGACCAAATCGGCGATACATTAAAAATGGGCCAGATTAGGAGTACCCTTAACCGACGAGCGTATATGCGTAGATATATGGATGTAAAAGAGGCGAGAGAGGTGTATCAGGATCGCACCAAATGGAAGTCCGTAGTCTCTGCCTACCCCTCTGGATGACAGGCGTGTCTTGTTGAGTGTTTATGTTATGTTAGAACCAAATGGTTTGCTTCGTCTTTTGTTATGCGTACAGCAAAGGAGTGGAATAATTTGCCGGCGTCTATCTTTCCGTCCGAATACAATCTAGGCGTCTTCAAGGCAAGAGTGAATAGGCTTTTGTTACGATAAGACAGTGCGATTTACCATCTAAGGCATCTAAGGATATAATCACCACTTACCACCAGGTGGGGTTGTGGTCAAGCACTGGCTTATAAGAAGTAAAAAAAAAACTTTTTAAAATATATTGTGTTAGTTTAATAGCAACCATGTCTACATGTTGGAAAAATTCCTCCTGTTCGCCTGTTCGTCTTACCTGTATATTTGTTAATATTTGTGGATTTAGGGGAAATCTTCATAGATTTATTAATAATGTTATTAATAGATCTTAATAGTATAGTAGAGATTATTAATAGTATAATTCTCGTTTATTAGGGTTTAGGACCTGTCGAAAATTACGAGTAAAAAATTAATTTTTAATTAACAGTAAAACTCGACCACAAAAAACTAAAAAAAAGAAAATAACTTTATATTCTGACGCTTAGAATATACGTAAGCAAGCTAGCTTGCTTATGTATGCTCTAAATTCTGAAATTGCTGTAAAGTCGTTTTCATCATTACAGCTTACAAATAACATTACAAAGTTATAAAGTTATAATGCAACTAGTTATAAGTCACTTTCTATTAAGTTGCAACGAAGTTTTTAGTAATCAAATGCATTTTATAAGTTGGTCGACTATTATTCGTTATGTACTTATACGTGGTAGAGCCACGCAGCTATATTATGGTTGTAGCACGAATGGGTTGGCTCGACCGGGGAAGGACCACGCTCTCACAGAATACCAGCGTAAAATAGCAGCTTAACGCTGCTGTGTTTCGTATGGTGAGTGTAGAGAACCGGACACACTTTTTACTGGAAACGAGGCATTCCATCTTAGTTTTCACGGGTGACCACGCATCTGCATTTTAATTAGTAATCGAAGATAGATGTAGATGTCTATGTGCCACAGCAACCACGTACCATC